CCTCCGAGACACCGTCCCCAATCCCCTCCCCGGGACACCCGTCCCCAATCCTCTCCCCGAGACAGTCGTCGATACCACCTCCACCTCCGAGACACACGTCCCCAATCCCCTCCTCAGGACACCCGTCCCCAATCTCATCCTCGAGACACCGGTGTTGCAGTCCACTTCTTCTCCGCAGTCCTCGTCTTTGGAGGTTAAAGTTGATCGACAAAGACGACCAGGACGTGCTGTTGTAAGTCCATTTCGACCCGAGGAGAACAGACGGTATTCCAAAAATGAGGGCGAGTTTGAACGGTTCCTGAAATCCACGAATAATGAAATGTAAGTACATCCAAATGATCTTTTATTGTTTATATTTAAAAAAAAATAACTTTCTAAATTATTTAATATGAGGAATGTCGGCATTCCATATGCGGTGGACAAGAAGTGGTTTCAGCTGTTGATTAATCTGAATGAAACGATGTTTGACGAGGTATGTATATGTTTGTCTTGTAATATCTTAACATATAAAAATGAATTGATGGATGATGTTTGGTTTGACTTTATAAAACAGAACGTTGATGCATACTTGGGGATTATGCAAAGCAATCCACTCTTTTTGGACTTCCAGCCACGGATAGATATGTTGGGCACTTACACCATCGTGCCAACTACGTTTTTTGTGAGATTATTTTAATCCTTTCTCTTTTCCTTGTCATTCCATTTTTATTAATAATTATATTAATAACATTATTATTTATTATTTTGTTGTATTTTATATAGATGATGCTGGAGGAATTGGAGAAGGAGATCGATAAGGGAAAAGTGGACCCGACGGCCTCGAAGACCCTCCAATCTTTGATTCGCATTGCGGAAGAGGGGGTCGGCGGATGGGGAAATCCGTCTTCTTGGAGGGACATTCAATTTGTATGTTTTCAATGATTCTGAATCAATTAATATCGCAATCTTTCCTAAAAAAATTAGTGAATTTCTCACAACTCAATGCAACAGATTATTGGAGTAGTGAATTTGTCCGGCCACTACGTGACTGTCCAGATCTTTTTACGCGAGGGGCGATACGTGTGTTTGACCCTCTACGGCATACGTATTTAGAAAAGAAGAACGAGCACATTCGCGAAAATCGCATCGAAGGACTCCAAAAAATCCAAAATCTAATTCCAGTGATTGCAA